TTACTTTCCTGCACCTGGGTTTTGTATTTTCTCTAGGTTTGGAAAGTTTCTGATATTATTTCTTTAACTAAGCTTCCTACTTCTTCTTCTCTATTCCCTTTTGAATTCTAATGACTTGTATGTTTGCTCTTTAGATACTATCCCATGAATCCCATGATCTTTCTTCATTCCTTTTTATTCTTTTTTTTTTTCTCTTCTGATTGGATACTTTCACATGTTTGGGGTTGCAACCAGCCGGCCCATCCAGAATCCCAGGCTAGACTAACTAGTAAAGGTCTGTCACCACCAAAGAACACCTGCAAATGCTGGACGGGGTCAGCATCTCATCAAATGTGCAGGCATAAACATAAGGACACAAGAATCATGAAAACTCAAAGGAATATGATACCACCAAAAGAATCTAATGAAGCTCCAGAGGTGGACCCAGAAGAAAAAGAGATTTACGAAATGACAGACAAAGAATTCAGAATAATCCTCCTAAAGAAGTTCAGAGAATTACAAGAAATTACAGATAGAAAATTAAATGAATTTGGGGAAACAATTCGTGCACGGCATGAGACATTTGATAAAGAAATAGAAATTAGAAAATTCCAAATAAAAATCCTCGAGATAAGGAATACAATAACTGAACTGACAAATTCAACAGCAGGTTTCAACAGCAGACTTAATAAAGCAGAAGAAAGAATTAATGAACTTGAAGACTCTACATTTGTTTCCAAACTTTAAAAAAAAAACAACAAAAGTTGATAGCAGGACAAGACAGTAGCTTGTGCATGCTGACAGTTTGATATTTTCTCTGAAACTCGGTATTTCAATTTTGCATAAAATTAATATAAACATTTCATACTTTATAAATAGATACACTATATAAATATATCAGTTCCTCAATCATTATTGCCTAAAAGGGATTTATAAAATCTTGAACTGAATAAAATGTCATGTGTAAATTTTTAAAGGAATTCTATTTACATGCACAAACATACTCAACTAAGGTTTGAGAACTCTTTGTCAATTTTATTTTTAATAATTCATTATCTCACATAATTGCTGATAAATGATTTTCTTGATTCTTCTCTTGTGGTTTTATACATTGACACACCTTTGCTAAGATCATCTGTGAACATAATGTACTTCTACAACCTTTGACATAGTCTTGGCTTCATAACTTCCTTTGGCTGATGAGATGATAATAGATATGGCACAAATAGAGGCTTGAAGTGAACATGCATGGTTAGACATGCCCCCTTTTACTCCTTCATTAGCATGAAAAAGATATGCCATGGGAGGCCTACTCATCCCAGAAGCATGAAAGACAAAGAATAGACCTGTATCCAAATGACAGTTTGAAGCTAAGTCTCACAGAGCTCAGCACAGGTCAGCCAACTGCTAACTGATCTTCAGACTCATGAGTGAAAAATAAATGCTTAATGTTTTATTTTGTTCAGTTTGGGTAGTTTGCTAAGTAGCAGAAACAAACTAACTGCACACTTCAAGATACTGAATAGCTTGCTCCAAGTTATGTAGATAGCAAGAGCACAAAACATACTTTAATGGTAATTATTGGTGTATTTGACTTCAGAGGTTGGGCCACTCATTCATCATATGCCTAAATCTTTTCTTCAATGTCTCTGTCAAGGTCTTATCTAGGCTTTGGTGGGGATTTCTCAGGGCAAAAGATTGGACAGGAAAAAATTAAGTCTTCTCACTGTCTTCTGGATAGTGAATGTACTGGAACTGATCATACCAGCATAGAGTAAAGGCCATTTGTTATCCATATCTATTAATATAGTTTAAGATTAAATTAATATTTTTGGTAACTACCTCATGCTAAAGTGATGTTGGTTTGTAACTTATTTGAATATCTTTTCTTGGTGATATGGTTCATGAGTCAAAACTTACATAAAACACCTATTTTTTATTTCATATAATTGTTTTGTCATTTTATTTTCTCTATTTATGTATAGGACTCTACTTTGGGAAAAAATTAATTTTATTGTGTAATCCAGGTTGTTACAATCTTTTGGGATTCCCATCTTGTGCATACCCATGTCTTAGTACATTTTTGAGTCAATGGAACACAGTTTTTATTATGGCAAATTACTAATGTGGAAAAATTAATACTAGGTGAGTAAAAATAAATTAATTTAAAGAAAATTAAAATTTTTAATGAAGAGACAAATGATTTTTAGTAACTACTAGAAATCCACAAATTTAAACTAATTGTTTTAGGTAAAGAGAAGAAAGATGACTGATGTGAAAACCGTTGTGACACACTGTATCAGTCTTGAGGACTCTGCTGGTTTCCCCTTTTCTTTAAGTATGACTCTTATACATTACATACACATACCATGCCAGAAACTTTGTTCAGAATGGGAATCATTTGTCCCAAAGGCTCATGCACCCTTGCTATGATTTGAATGTGTCCCCTGCAGTTCTTGTACTGAATACCTAATCCCTTACATGGCAGTGTTAGGAGATGTGGCCTAATCAGAGTTTTTGAATCATGGGAATGGAGCTCTCCTGAATGGATTAATTCCTTTCTCATGGTATGGGTTATCAGTTACAGGATTCAGCCTGCTTTTCTCTTGCATGCATGTGAATTCTTTTCCCTTATATCTTCCACCATGTAATGAAGCAGAACAGGACCTCACATGAAACAGCCATATGGCCACCTAATCTTGGACTACTCAGCCTCCAGAACCATATGATTAAATAAACTCATTTCCTTTATGAAGTACCCATTTTCAAGTATTCTGTTATAGCAACAGACAATGGAATAAGATAAAAAAAAAAGATACTGCGAAAAGGGGCTATTGCTATACAAACAAACATCTGAAAATGGAAAAGTGGTTTTGGAACTGGGTAGTGAGTAAAGGATGGAAGAGTTTTTAAGTGAATGCTAGAAAAAGCCTAGAAAGTCATGAATGAAACATTTAACAGCAATTCTGGTGAGGGCTCTGAAGAAAGAAAAAGACTAAAAAAGTCTGGAACCACTTAGTTGGTCATGATCAGAAAACAGAAGAAATATGGACAGTTAGGACCATTTTGATAAGGTCTTAGAAGGAAATGAAATATATGTTATTGGAACTGGCATAAAGTTCATCCATGTAAAGTTTCAAAGAACTTGTGTGACCTGTGCCCTTGCCTGAGGGCTTCATGGGAAGCAGAGCTTAAGAGTGATAAAGTAGGACACTAGGCAGAATAATTTCTAATTAGCAAAGTCCTTAAAGAACTGTGTGGTTCCTTTTTACTCCATACAGTGAGACAAGAGAGTAAATGAATTATTTTAAGGCATGATTTATAATTAAAAGGGAAGCAGAAAGTAAAATTTGGAAAATTTACAGCCTGTCCATATGAAGAATGAAAATAGTATTCAAGAGAACAAAACAAGTCTAAGGCTAAAAATAATGTTACTAAAGAGAGAAACATGAATAGAAGTAGGTGATAACCATCAAGACAATGGGAAATGGCCCAGAAGGTATTCAGAGATCTTCCAGGCTGCCCATCCCATTATATCCCCAGTGCTCTTGTAGGGCAGAGTACTCTCAGAGTACTCTCCATGTAGTCACTACTGCTCAGGGACCTCAGGATTCTGTTCCCTGAATCTAGATGTAGCAGTGGTTTGTCCCAGCCATGGCCCAAGCAGCCACAAATGTGGCTTGGGCTGTCTCTCTGGAGGGTGCAAACTGAAGTTTTGGCAAGATCCATTTGGTACTGATTCTGCAGACGTACAGAATGCAAAAGCTAGAGAGACATAATTTCCTCCCTGTAAATTTCTAAGGATCTTATATAACAACTGTAGGCCTACCTGCCATAGAGATTTCTACCAGGGAAATGCCTAGTAGAACCATGGGAGTGGGGTCCTGTCCTTAAGACTCTAGAACTACAGATACAGGCATGGTTCAATTCCCACCTTGGGATGCTATAGGTGTGCTAATCTAGTAGAGCTGAGGCAGGAACTGAGCCCAGGAAAGCCACAGGTATGTGATTGCCCCCATGGTTCCCAGGAAGCCTCACATGGAACAAAAGATTAAGCTCCAGCTGTAAGACTTAAGGTCTGCCCTTGGGTTTTGGACTTAATTGGGTCTGTTACTCTTTTATACCTGTCACCCCTTTTCAGAACGGGAGTGTCAGTCTTCTATCTGTTCCACCATTGTATCTTGGAAGTAGACAATTTGACTTGATTTTGTAGGCTTGCAGCTGGAAGGAATTTGCCTGAGTCTCAGATGAGACTTTGGACTTTTGAATTGATGCTGGAATGAGTTAGGAATTTAGGATTATTGAAATGGAATGAATGTTTTGTGCAATGTAAGAAAGACAAGAACTTGGGGGTCCAGGGGAGCAATGATTTGGTTAGCATATCATCCAAAAGTTTATATGTTAAAATCTTTTTTCTCAATGTGGGTGTCTGGGCACATGCATCCTATGGGAGGGATATTCATGATGGGGTTGTAGCCCTCAGAATGGATTAATATCTTTCTCTTGGGAAGAGGTATCTATCCCAGGAGTCTGGTTACTTTTATTTTCTTGTGCTTATATGCCCTTTCTCCCCTTCTAACTTCTACCATGTTATGAAGCATCATGAAGCTCTCACCAAATCTAGCTGTCCACTCCCGAACTTCTCAGCCTCTAGAACTATGAACCTAAATAAATTTATTTTCATTGTAAACTATCCTGTCTTAGGTATTCTGTTATAGCTATAGAATCCGGTCTAAGACAATCCTAATTTCTATAATCTGAGGGTGATAACTGTTATTTCTAGGGAACACACAACTTGTCCTCATGGTAAGAACAAGGTTGAGTCATTTGAGTCAATACTCAAATGGTGGTGGTGGTGGGTTCTAGAACTCATGGAGTTTTGTTTGTAACACAAAGAAAGAAGTAGAAGCATTTGGGCTAAAGTAGTACTATATGAGTACTTATTAACAGGTGTAGTAATATAGAAATACATATTTTTAAAATCAAAGAAGTATTGGAACATCTACTGCAAGGATACCATATAAAAACCAATTTCCTTTATTGAGGATAATGCATTGCTAATTAAACTAAATAATAGAGATTTGGGACACAACTTTATAGATTTCATTGATTAATTTTCAAATTTCAGATCTCTTTCTCTAATTTGGAATAAATGAATATATGTATGCATTTGGAATCTACGTGTGTGTGTGTGTGTGTGTGTGTGTGTACCTTTACATTTTTCTTCTTCTGAGTTTGTGCTTCCCTCAGCATACTTTAAGGCCAGTGCTTTAATGCCTCAGTTACTCAGTTACAAGTTGATGTCATCAGGAGTGTGTGTATATTTCTATGAAGGAGTTTTGGGGAGGAAATTATACTCTCAAAGAAATGATTTGGTGGTGGAAGCTCTTGAGAACTGAAACATACTCCTTGAAAGCTGTGCTGGAGATCAGGTAGCTGCCTACTTGATAAAATTCCTTTCCTTTCCCCTTCTTTCTGTTAAAATTTAAAGATTAAAAGTGGTTGTTGGCTCCTATTTTTGAGAGTTGAACCACAAGTTCTTTATTAGTTATCATTGGCGATCTTTTCCTCACTCACAGTGAAATAGCAATATGTGCAAACTTATAAGGGATCAGAGAAATTAGTGATGGTCCTGGTCCATGGATCCACCTGTGGCACTGCCCCTAAGCCACATAATGCTGCACTCAGGCTTCAGAAAGCTTTCAGGACCCTTAACATCGGCCTTCTCCCAGGATGCCCAACTCTTGATTCTTCTAACTCTTGAACTCCCAGCTTCATTGTCTTTATGTCCAGGCTTTTGCAAACTATCAATAATTCCTAGGAACAAGATAAAACCCAAGATTTTAGGAATCAAAGCTCTGCTTTGAAAGAAAATAAAATATCACTATTCTCTAGTAGTATCTTAAATGATTAATGAGCTCCCTTTCCCTCCATTAATGAGTAAGAACACTGTTCTCTGGATGGAGATGACCTGGTTTCAGATGGAGCCTGCTCTTTCCTAGTGTATCTTCTAGGAGAACATACTTCTATGAATTTCAGTTTCTTCATTGGTAAAGGGTAGATAATGATAATGACTATTTCCTATCAAATAAATGAGCTATCGTGTGCTAAGCATTTTGCGAATGCTTGGCACATTCTAGGTACTCAATAATTCCTATTGTTTTTATTATCTGTCTCCCACACACATTGTGAATCAGGTACTACTAAGCCCTCTGCTGGATCATGAGGATGCAAAGATGAATAAAGCATGATCTCTGTCCTCAGGGAATTTAAGTTTTTCTTATGAAATACACAAGCACATAGTTAATGTAAAACATGAAAAGTACTCAGGAACTTATTGGGGGATAGAGGCAGGACATCTGACCCAATTCTGTGTCTCTTACAGAGATCTTGTTGCCCTCTTGCAGCAGCTGTTGGATATAAGGCTGTGTGAGAAGTCTAACTCCTTAAAAGGCTTCATGGTACTGAAGGCTTTCTTGGCAGAACTCACTTCCCTTTGGTAAATTGCTGCTGTTGCTTCTAATCTTGGCAGAGCTCCTGCCACACAAACCTGTTTTGTGTGGCCAATTTCCTCTGTTTGAGATCCTGTCTTGGCTCTGGCCCCTACCTGGATCTTTGTCTTGTATTACTGAGTTTTCACCTCCCATGTCTACTTGGCCAAATGTGTGCCAGCCTGGCTGTGCTGTACTTGGCTCCATAACTGTGAGCTCAGCCAGACACCCACGTGCCTTGTGTCTGAGTTTTCCTCTGGAACACGAATCACCCTTGGGGCAGAGGCTGACTCAGTCTCTTTGTCAGTGATAACCTGAGTTGGTTTTTAATGCCTTTTCATAATAATCCAGGGAGTTAATTATATTCTGTGGGATGTGTTCTGCTACAAACCACAGAGGGTATTGCTAGACATGGCTTAAAATACACAGGGATGCATTATATTATGTATGAAGGCATTCAGTAGAGGCAGATGCTGAGGTTATTTGGTGGCTTGATAAGCTGATAAAGAACAGCTTATCAAGAAGGGGCTTTTCTTGCTATTCTGCTCCATCATCCTTGGCTTGTTCATGATACCTTTTGGGAATTCAAATGGCTGCAACAACTCAAAGCCAGCCCAGAGTCAAAAATCGAAAGAGAGAGGTGGCAAAAGTGAATAGTCCTTGTAAATGTAATCTTTTGTCTGAAAGACAAACAAAATTTCAGAAACTTCCCAGATGCATTCACTTACATTATATAGCTTACATTTCACGTGGCTATTCTTTTCATGTTTTCTTTCTTTCTTTTAATTTTTAAGTTGATATATTATAATTTTACATAATAGTGGAAATCATTATGCCTTATTCATACATGCATATAACACAGTTTGATCAAACTCTTTCCCTAGTACCTGTCCTTTCCCATTCCTCCTCCACCCCCTGATCCATTTTCTCTACTGATTTCCTTTCTATTATTACTATTGTTATTTATTTAAATTAGTGCATTAGAAGTACTACGGTTTGGATATGAGATATTCCCCTCCCGCGCAAAGCTCCTGTATTAATTAATTCAGGGATATTCAGAGATGAAATGATTAGATTTCAAGAGCTGTTACATAAGCAGTCTATCCTAATTTGAATGGGTGGTAACTGTAGGGAGGTGGGGCATGACTGGAAGAGGTGGATCCCTGGGGCCATGCTAGTCATAAACAGTGTGCTCTTTGTTTCCTGACTTCACAAATGGGGAGGGGGAAAATATACATAGATACTTTTCATAGTAGGAGACTAGGAAGGTGAGTTTCTGGACTATCTCTGAAGTAGAAGATATCACGGAAGCATGGGTTGGAGACAACTTTTGAGTAAACAAGAAATAGTGTCAGTCACAGCCTTACTCAAAAACTTGAAGCTGACTGAATTTTTCTTTTAGTTTATGTAGCTTATATTGGCTCATACTGCTTGAATTACAAAAGTCCTTCAATAATAAACTTATTTTACAACCTGTATACATGTCTTTTGCCTGTACTTCCTTTTTTTCTACCTTTTAATTTCTTTAAAAAAATCTCAGTACTCATTTCTTTTGATATCTACTTACCATCGATATTTTCCCAAGGACAAAGTGTTTTTTTTTTTAACCAGACCAGTTTAATGATTTTAATAGTACAATTGCAGAAACTTCAAATGACATTAAGATGGGTAAATAATGTTCTGTTAACGAACAATATTAAAGTGTTAGTATATTAGGTATCTGTTCATCTATAGTTATCTATAGTCCTCTGTTCTATCTAGTTTAGTTGGGTAATTTTTAAAAGGTAAATGCTACATTTGATCTAACTAGAGCAATCTAAAACAGAAAGGAACTCTCCCTAAATTGTGCACGTCTATATTTTTCCCCCTGCTTACCTACATTAAATTTAAAAAATAGAAAGTATGATAACTACATGGTCACAGTGCTCATCCCTGAACTCCTCCTTTTTCTTCTTGCCTCAGAAGCCAGTCACCTCAGGAGCTCTGTAGTCAGTGGCTTAGAACCCAATTCACATTTTACAACAGTGGTAGAAACTCTCTGCCTACAGAGCAGCACAGACCTGTGCTCAGAAAGCCCTTGAAGCAATGCATCTCTGCTTCCCTGATCCTCCTAGTCATAAACAAGCCCTTTTTTATTTTTGATTTATTTATTTATTTAAAATTTAATTTGTTATATACGACAGCAGAATGCATTACAATTCATAAAGAAGATTGTTAGTATTAAAGCAAGGTTTTTTGACTACTAACCTACATGTCACAGAAATGATCTCAGGTACCTCTCTTTTAGCATTGTTTTTTTAATCCTCATAGCAAATTTACAAGGTGAATATGAGCTCATCTTACATGATGTAGACTGACAACATGTCCAGATAATTTAAAGGACAATGAAAAGACATCTGTTCTCCAATATTTTGACCTTCATTTTGATCTCAAAATATTTCTGTTATATTCCCTGTTTCTTTGCACCAGAGATCTCTGTTGTATTGAGTTTCTTAGAAGCAGAACCTAAGACTCAATTTATGTAAAAAGTGATTTCTTAAGACAGCAATCTCAGAAGAGAGGGAGCAAGGGAAGCAGGTTAGGGCAGGGAAGAGAGTTAGGCAAGGTAGTGATTTTGGCTAGGGACCAGCTTCAGTCTACAAGTTCAGGAATACAAACTGCTGTATTGATTGGTCCCACTTTGAGGCTTGGGATACCATTTTTCATACCTGTGTCAGTCTGTCATTAGCCACTGGCTGTGAGCTTTTAGTAGCCAATGTTTATAGTAGTTGAGAAGTGGCTTGGCCAGCAGTGTGAAAAGAGTCTGGGGGCATCCACTACTGTCCGCCTCTTGAACTATCAGACTTGTTTGCTTCCATTCATTAAGTAAATTCAACCAAACACAAATTTGCAAGAGTTAGAGTGGGATAGATTATAATTATAATTCCTAAACTTCTATTGGTCTTAAAGTGATAACCAGTATTTATTTTCTCCTTCTTTTACTATCCATTTTAAACCCTCTTGCTTTTAGTTAGCACATTACTCTTTGCAGTGGCTTACATGTTTCTGTGACCCATCTTGTCAGTCCCTACAGAATGAGCTCTGGTCACTATGCCCTAATCAGGTAGTAGGGACTGAAATTGTCCATTTGCATCTAAACCCATGTGAGTTCCAAGACAGGCCAACCATATATCTGCCTGAACCTTATCTAGAGCAGTAGTTCTGTCTCCTCATGACAATAAGGGTCAGTTACCTTTGCCAGTATAGAACTTTTTTATGCCAGCTAGTTAAATGTTCTAAGAACCTCAAGTATCCAGATGTCAACTGTAGCTTTAAGTTTAGTGGAACTCATTGTGTTATTTGGAAATAAAAGAGCTCCCTTCTGGATTCAAGGACTTACACTAAAAATGTCTAATGTTGCAAGGATATAAAGCACAATTCCTCAGGGAGGTGACTGGGGGTGATAGAGAATGGGACCATTCCTACATCTTTCCATTGAATTACGAATTCTAGCTATTGGAAATGATAACTACTGGTTTAGATATAAGTGGCATCTTGAAGAATTATGCCATCTTCCCCCAGAGTGTCACTTCCAAGAAAATGCATCAACTTCAACTTCACAGTGCTCTTCTAACATGCTCTCGGATGTCAGGACAAGATGGCATGGTGCATGGCCGGGCTGTACTCCTTCTTGTTTGTATAGCTTACTGGAGTCTTTGATCCACCTGAACCCAATTTTAGACAAACCTCTTTCATTTGATGATGAATTGCTGCTGTGCCTGCCTGACTTGTGACTTTGTGAGTGTGGCAGTATACATTTACAGATGGGTACTGATAGGTAGTTCTGATGACTTGCTAGGGTAGATACTCAGTTTCTTCCATAGCCCATGGCCTGCCAGAAGCTGCTTTTCACATGCTGTGAAGTTTTCTCCTGTTTATGGCAAGGTCTTGATCCAGCACCCTGGGCATTTCTTCTATGACCTTCCTATTAAATCTGGACAGAGACTCTACATGGTGCCCTCCTCTACCACAGAGAAAGCTAGGAACATGAGATCTGCTGGGTTGTTGATCCAAGCTCCAGGCTCCTGTTTCATCCTGGAGCTGTTGCCAAGCCCTTCTTTTTGTGGGCTCTCCTCAAAATGACCAACCATCTACACCACTTGATAAATGAATTACAAAACTTGAAGAAGCCACCAAGCACTGTTATTCTTTCTTAGAAAAATGAAACTATAGCTGGGCATAGGAACACATGCCTATAATCCCAGCTACTCTGGAGTTTGATACAGGAGGATGGCAATTTCAAGTCCAGCCTCAGCAGTTTAGTGAAACCTTGCCTCCATGTAAAAAATAGAATGGTTGGGGATGTATTCCTGTGGTAGAGTGTCCCTGGATTCAAACCTCAGTACCACCAAAGCAAGAAAGCAAGTAGAAGGTACAAAACACAGTAACTTCTTCTTTCCTTTCAAGGGATGATTCCAGCTTTCCCCAGACCAACAGACTCCAAAATAATGCTCTAAGAGTTGTAAGTTCTTGGGTCTGTGTTAGCAGGGCTTATCTTCTATGATTTGGAGCAAATATGTTTTATTTATCAAAGCATCCAGATACTAAATATTTCTTGCTCATCAGGTCTTAGTAAGATGGTGTCATTAATACCAGAGGACCAGTGTGAGGTTCTGGGGATCATCAATTCCCATCAATTCCCTTCACTCTCCAGCTTCCTGGATGAAGAGACCCATTTATCTGAAGGAGCATTTCTCTATTTAGAGGAAGGGGCAGCTGAGCACATTTCATAGTCAACATTCAAAACTGATGGGGATGGTTCATCCACTTGGTTATGGGAAGAGGTGGAGGACAGAAACTAAAACATCTAGTACATGCTGTTAACATAAACCTGCATTCTCTGGAGACAAGGCAGGAGTGTGGTGTGTGGAGAAGGATCAAAAGTCAGGATTCTGGGATCCCTCATTAACACACTGTACTGAAAAGCAGTGAAAGGCAGACGCATCTTGAGAGAAAAGAGAAGGGGGAGGGTTGGTTGCCAGGAGTTCTGTGTAGCCAGAGCCCTTTTCTGTGGGGAGTGGTAGCAGTGTGCTCGGAGAGGATTGTTAAACATTAGGAAATTCAGAAAGTCAATTGCAGACCCTTGACACTTTCAATTAGCCATCGTGGCAGTTTTATATCCCAGAAATAAAAAAAAATTCTTCAAATTAGGGATCTTTTTCCTGTGAAAGTAGTTCATATCTGAGAATGAGGATAGCAAATGCTTTTCAACTGAATGTCAAAACAGGAAAAGATGAAAAGCAAGCGACACTCCCTTCCCCACAAACAACACCACTGCCACCCAAACTCTACGTCCTTAATAATTTATCCTGGAGTCAGAACAACTCCCTGCACATTTTCCTTTTCCTAAAGTGCTATCAGAAAGTGCCATCTGGTTAGTCAATTTTTAGGTTCATTATTGTTATTTCCTCATTAAAAAAAAAAAATCCATCTACCTCCTGGGTTTGATTAGTAGCTTCTCGTCATGTTGCATTAGATGGGAAGAAACTCTATGTATTTCCTTTTGCAGCCTCCAGTCTTAACAATCTGATCATGTTCCTCCTTTGTTAAAAACAAACCAAGGGTTCTCTGCAGCATTTACATTTAAATCAAGTTTCTCAGTTTGCTTTAGTGACCCTAGTTTCTCTGACAAAATAAAAGGTGTGAAATAAGGACTTCCATTCAGTCACTTTAGGCTTACTGAGGAAGTAATTACAAGGCAGAAAGGAGGGATGGAGGGATGTGGAAGAGGTAAGGAGGAAAAGGCCATATGAAGTGCCTTGACTACTGCCATGGACAGCGAGGGTTTGATTCCGGATCCTCTGGGGCATTCTGAGAACTGTCTAGAATGCCTTTCATACTCCACGCTGCCCAGTAACTACAGAGTAAAACACTGATAGATTCCCTCTTTTATTTTTTTGATTGTTGCCCCAAGAGATCTCAAGCTTCCCACACTTATGCACTACTAACCTATATGCCAAGCGGGCTTCTACAAAAGCCCCCCTTTGTGCAGTCAGAAGCAGCCCAGGGCAGAAAGTCAATGATGTGTAACTTGAGTTCTTGGAGAGTTTCTATCAGTACAAAGTGATTTGAAGCTTCTATGTAGCTTTTCATGGAAGCTGTGGCTGGAGTCTAACCTGAGGCCTAGAGGAAGTGAGGTGGACTAAAAGAGGCAGCTGATACACCCAGCATAGAAAGCTCCTGGGGTTTCCTATTCCAACTCCTCCAGTCTCATCCCTGGGCAAGGCCACCCTTAAAGCCTGCCCATACCAATGCAGGTGTCTGAACTCCACAGAGCCATTTTATATAGCCAGATTAGTTTTGTTTTTTGATACATGCTGATCTCTCTTCTAGAGAGGCTGCCACTTTCTTCTGTTAGTTAATTTTAAACTGACCTCAGCTGTGACTTTTTGCTGGATGCTTCCGTGTCTTCCTTCTGTTAGTGTTAAGTCCTTCTACATTCCTTGTCGTATGGCTCCGCTGAAGACCTTATTACAACATGTGTAGCTCTAACACAGAAATTTGTTACCCAGCTTCAGTCTGTGAGGGATTGCATTTTTTTAAGTTTCCATATCCTGAATAGCCATATACTTGGTTATATAATAAATGTTCCTTAAATACTTGCGGACTAAATGAATGAGTACATTTTGGTAGTGTATTGGATAGCTAAACCAGTGGATTACAAAAAAAAAAACCCAAAAAAACCCAGATTCTATTAAAGCCTTCCCAAAGCAATTGAAGCATGGGCACATTTTGAAAGAATACCATGTATCCAAATATACCTCTGATGCATAGAATCAACAATGTCATTTGATTTTGTAGGAAATCAAGTAGTAAGTCAATATAATGAATATGGAATTCCTGCTTTCAAGAATTAGACAAGATGCAAACACATAAAAAGATGAGTAACAAAGGAGAAATACAAAGAGATATGAACTATTTATAAGGTAGTATGGGCAAGCAGGAAATGAGTAGCTGGAAACAGATTTGCCATAACTGAGGATTCTAAGATTTTCTTTCTGGAGACAGAAGGACAAGGAGGTTTCTAGAGTTTGAATTTGCCATTATGCATACTGATTTACAGCAGTGGCTTTGGAAAAGAGCACTTAGGTTCAAATTTCTACGTCACATACTACCCTTTGGCTGTGTAATCTTGAGCAAATTTTACCTCATCTATAAATTTGAGTTAGTGATTATACCTAATTCATGTGGTTGAGGATAAAATTAATTAATATATCTATAGAGATTAGAATAATGCTTCGCATATAACATTTGTATTACATTTAGTATAGCTTACCTTAAACAAGGGGGAAGTTAGTCTTTTAGCAGGGATGTAAGTTATGTTTGGAAGGCAGTGAAGGGATTAGTTTATTTGTAGCAGAGGTTTTGTGTGGGGGAAATGGAGATAGATAAAATTGGAAAGCTGTTTGGAATCTTAGTGAGGATCTAAAAATTTGGATACAATTAGTAATGGAAACAAAAAGATGGGATAATTGTATGTCTTAATTTTTCCTGGATATTATAGTTTAATAATTATCTTAGTATAATTATTAGAGCTCACATATTAGTGTTCTGTTAGATTAAAGATGTCTAAAACAGGGGTATGTAAGTAAGAATCATGGAGATTTAGGAATATTATCTAGCACAAATATGTAAGATACATTGGAGAAGAGTTTGTAGGTTGGGAGGAAAGTCTGCATATTTATTCAAAATCATACTTGTTTCCGTAGTGTAATAAGAGCAGTGCTGAAAAGGATCTGGAGATAATCTGGTAGGAGGCTTTCTTCATTTTGCATATTGGTACATTGTGATTTGCTTTTCATGTGTTTTGAAATGTTCAAAGAAGTAAGTGAATCTGAACCCTTTGTGGTAAAACAAAACAAACATAGGAAGAAGTCAAAACTCATTGCCAATGAAGTAAGGCAGCTCATGTAGATGGGAGGTCTCTTGCTTCATATTAGAATGACAGCCCTAAACTGTTTTCATATGCTGGGTTCCCAGTTTTATTCATTAGTTCATAGTTTAGTTTGGACAGTGACAACACCAGCAGTGTTTGTGCCATGATCTCAACACTCTTCTGTTCTTTATATTTATAACCTTATTGGAATTATTATGATTGGGATATTGGGAAACTAAATTGTTGATACTAGTGAGATCACTTTAATGAGGTAAGATATGAAATCATTAGCTGTACTCAGAAAAGTGAATCTCATGTTATGTTGAGTGGACCTGAGTCCATTCTCTAGGCAGCAGTAAGAGGCGCAGTGCAGGCTCATAATCAACCTTATTCCCTTTTACCTGGTGAAAGCTGGTCAGAACCCATGCAGAGCTGGTCACCACAGCAGAGAATGGAGTCTGAGAGACGTGAGTCCCAGAGGATCAGGATCTGAAATGGCCTGTAGTGGTGTCTGACTTGAGACCATCAGATTGTGGCCAACATTTTCATGCCACCTGTACTGACTGTCTTGCTTCCAGTACCTTTTTTTCATACATTTAGAATTAGGGAGTGCAGGATTGACTTGAATAGAGGGTAATTTTTCTTTCTCTCCCTCCAATTCACTCTCAGTAGTTATTGTTGCCTCCATCCAGGCTGCAAACACTTCTTAAATGGTGATGCAAGACTTTTAAATTTTTTTTAAATTGATGAATTAATTTATTCTAATTAGGTATATATGACAGCAGAACTCATTTTGATTCATTGTACACAATTGAAGATCAAGACTTTTGTTCTGTGGTGATACAGGTATGTTTCAGATCCAGTTACCAAACAAGGGGGTGTGATGTGGCTCAGGACCTGTTTGCTAGCTTCTGTTGGTGTCTCAACACATCTCTTATAAGCTGTGTTTCTAGGCAGCCAATGGACTTATTTTCTTTGTACCTGTCATGATCTGTTGAGCCCTAGTCTAGTTCCATTTCAGACAGTGAGTCTGGCTTCAGTTCACTGCTGAGGGAGCCCTGTGGCTTCAGTCCTGCTCATTACTTTGTTTCTTTTTCATTTCTGGTCCTTGACATGATATTATGTTTTGTTTTTTTTAACGATTTACTGTTTTCATTTTCTCTCTCAGTGCTGTGTATTTGGAACAATGCTTTGGGAAATACCTCTAAACCATCTCAACTGGACATCTCTCAGGAAAAAAAGATTTTGAATAGATAATTGTATTTTTGGACAAACTACTGATTAAGCATAGAATGAATGTTTTCCATATGTGCTAAGACTTAAGTGATTTTACCTTTCTTGCAGCATTTTTTTTGGGGGGGAGGTGACTCAAGCATGAATTTTTGCAAAGCAGAAAGTTAGAAAGCAAGGGAAAGATTTGGAATTCAAGAAACACTGGTCCAAATCTGGAGAGCTATAGAGACATTGGGATGAAAGTATTCAGTAAACCCAGAGAATAGTTGGCCCAAGTTGGATTTATAAGCTAAATGGCAGGGAGAGGGAAGTCTTCAGGCACAAAGAGGACTACCCGAGGTACTCATGCATATTCATCAAGGAAAATTACAAATACCAGGTAAAACTACACAGGCCAAGAGCAAAGCCACTGTTCAAATACAAAGCAAATGAATATTTGTCATTTTCTTGAGGTGGTAGTTCCGTACCCCCAATTTTTTCTTCCATACTATTAACATTTTGAAGAATACAATTACTTTATAGACTACCCCTCAGTTTGGGTCCCTCCAAAGTTTTATCATGGTTAGATTCAGGTTATGCCTTTTTTTGCCTAGAATATTACATAAACAATGTTGTATCCTTCTGGAATTATCCCAACTGAACACACATGATGTCTGGTTTCTCTCTCTTAGTGATGTTAATTTTGATCACCTTAATGTTGTGTTATTTAATTTCTCTACTATGTATTCGTTTTCCCCATTGTAATCAATAAATAATTTATTATGTGATAGTTGGAGGATATGTAAATATTTTATTCCTCATCAAACCTCAACAACCATGATTAAGTCTCCATTAATGATTTTTGCCTGAATCAACTTTTAGAATTATATTTGCAAAATTATGATTTTTAAATATAGATATTAGTCCATACTTCTGTAAGACAGATCTTTTTATTCTTCTTTGTTTATGACTTTATTTATCCATCCATTATTATCAATATATGTAGACTAATGGATGCTTTTTTACTGGGTTATAGTCTGTCATTGTCCTTATTTATTTTTGTGCTCTAAGTGCTTCAGTTTTGGCTGGTGGAAGTCTCTTAAAACTGGGACTGGTGCCTTTTTGACATGCCCCTGTCAATTTTTCTGAGCCCTTCCCTACTTTTGAACACAAGATGTTACAGGCTTACCTTGTCCCTTTCCTGCCCTGTTTAGAAATCAGCAATGTCTTGTTGATGTAGAATGGTATTAAGAGACCAAAATATGTAGAATGGTATTAAGAGACCAAGATTTGTCCCTTTAAAATATGAGTGGTAGTTTTTGTCATTGCTGCTGGTACATCGTTGTCATCTGTCCTTTAAGTGGACAAAACTGATGATAATGTTGGAGGGAACTGTGTTGAAAATTTTCACTTTAATTAATTTGAAGCTCATGCTATTTTCTCACTCCTAATAATATGGAAAACATGGGACATGAGTGATTTTATTTTTGCTCCTTGTTGATGTTATGTTTATTTGGGAAGATGGATCTTATGAGTCTATTCAGAAATCCATCATGCTGACCAGAACCTCTGAGCAGCACCTCTGAGATTCCAGTGGTGTCTCTGTCTCCAGGAAAATTAAAATTTAAGTGGAGATGAATTAGTGTACATGCTGATTATAAGTTTGATAATAAAA